GGATGTTCAAAGTTTTTGATATTTTTTTATAACCCAACCCTGATCTGTACTTCTCCACAACTTTGTCCCTGACCTGTTTGGAGAGCTCCTTGGTCTTCATGGTGCCGCTTGCTTGGTGGTGCCCCTTGCTTAGTGGTGTTGCAGACTCTGGGGCCTTTCAGAACTGGTGTATATATACTGAGATCATGTGACACACAGGTGGACTTTATTTAACTAATTATGTGACTGCTGAAGGTAATTGGTTGCACCAGATCTTATTTAGGGCACGCACCACTTTTCCGTTATTAATTTTTTTGAATTTTTTGAAACAAGTTATTTTTTTCATTCCACTTCACCAATTTGGACTATTTTGTGTATGTCCATTACATGAAATCCAAATAAAAATCAATTTAAATTACAGGTTAAAAAAATATAGGAAAAACACCAAGGGGGATGAATACTTTTGCAAGGCACTGTACGTTGAAACTAAATGAACTAAATAAAGAGCAGTTCAAGCCGAGCTTCAGAAACCTTTACAGTATTACATGTTTATTGTTATCATGATTGATCTCTGTTGGATCATTAACATCTGGGAGATAAAAGGGATTGCATCCCCGGAAATCACCTTTTGGAGCTTACATTAAAATTGCACTTTAATTGCACTCTAAAACAGCAATTTTTGTTTATGTAAAAACAATATCATTATGATGAAACTTAGGATGTAGATTGAAAAAAAATAGGAAAAAAATGAACAAATCTCTGAATAAATTAAAAAGATATGTTGTACCTTTTTTACAAAGAGAGGACTGACAGACACATTACAATTATGATCACTTTTCGCCCGTCTGTTTCATTTTCAGAGAAAGAAAACAAATGACAAAATACATAGAAAAATCTTTATCAAATTCCCTCAATCTCCAAACCCAAAAGCAAAACATCAGTTAACCTGTGACTCTGGACAACAGGGTCTTAACAAAAATAAAATACATATTTTCTTTGCTCAAATTCTCATCACCACACAATACAGAAGACTCCCAGCAAACACACAACCACCACACAACGTTGTCTCAACGTTGCCGTGTTTGCTGTCCCTTCAGGTCTGTAAACTGTGTGACACCGCAGAACAGACTTGTGTTTTTTGTGATAGGGTGAGAGAGGTGGATGTGGTGGTGCTAGTGGTGACATCACTATATACATCATTCTCCTTCTTCATCACTCCTAAAAACAAAATGGCACTAATATAATATTAATAACAACGCTGGCGCACGACTCAGCATTATGGTCAGCAGTGGTCCCAATTCCCATGAGCCTCTCATTCTAAAGTCAGGAAATTCCTTAAGAAAGGAAATGTCTCTACCTAATCACCATCTTCAGACAAAGCGGAAGGTAGGTATGATAACTTTAGAGACACTGATCTAAGGACAGTTTTGTGTTTTACCCCCTAATGGTTAAGTAGGATTGGAGTTGGAGGCTGATCCTAGATCTGTGCCTAAGGGAAGCTTCTACCTGGAGCCCAGACATAAAGATCTATGGCCTGGCATCGACCAGCACTTTAAGGTTATTGTATGGACTAAGCATTAAGCAGTAATGCTGTTACATTGTAGTGCAATATATTACATAAGCATTTGACCATGTAGACATGTAAATGTCTGTTCTAACATGGATGGGAAACAATGACTGATGGGCGTTTTACTTTGTAAGCATGCAAACAATAGTCAACAACAAAACGTCCTCTATAGACATCTGATTACCCAGCACACATTAATTCCTGCATGTTTGTGGGATGACCCCTTTTTCAACCCCGAAACACCATATGTTCCCCTCCTTCTATCACTTGTGTGTCCGCTCCAATAGGAGGTATCTAATACATTGTTAGACTGCAACATTCTACTTAGTAAAACCGAACAGCACTAAAAGTGTATGTTTGTCTCATTTTGGGGAAATGTTATTTTGAGAGATCCGCAAAGTCAAAAGAAAAACTCAGTATGTTGAGTCCTGATCTTAAGCCTCTATATGTGGCTGGGCTACTACACTTTCGGCTGACGATGGGGGAGAGGAGGGCGTCATAGAAGCAATGTGATACAGTAGGAGTAGGATCAACTACGATTCCCCCTGCAGAATAAATGGCACATGGTACAGACCAAGACCAACCAATCACACCAGAGAATAATCTGACAACATAGTAAAACCAACACGCAAACGACCTGGGAGTATAAGTCCTTCCACCTTCTGTCCACCTTGTCACACACATGAATAGAAAAATAAGCTAGGCAATACAATTCAATGATTGATATATATATATATATAAAAAATCATAAAGCAAAAAAACACTTTCTCATTCGTCAAGTCTTTTTACCATCTGTTTACAAAATAAACAGATTTGAACTACTTTATGAGGCGGTCACATTGACTGAAAAAGCAACATGGAAACATAAGAAACATTTGAGAAAGGGTGTTGTAATCTTCTGTTTGGGTAGCAGGTTGACCTTTATTGTCATGAGTCTTGTCCTGGAGGCAGAACTGAGCGATTTCCCCTTAGGCCAGCTGCAAAGTCAAAGTTGGCTATATTGGAAAAATCCATGAAAACTAAAATTAGCTTTTTGGTCTTAATTCAAGTTTAGAGTTAGGCATTAGGGTTAGTAGTGTGGTTAAGGTTAGGGTGAAGGTTAGGTTTAAAATCTAATGTTATGAATTTATGGTGACCACTCTGCAGAGCTGCCTCCAGAACAAGATTGATGATGAAAAACACTAACCTGCGTTTGGATATGGCTCCTGGGGATGTAGAGTTCGTGTGACTATCAAAGTTTCCTCAAGTGTGGTTCAGATCATCACAACAACAAAAATCTTTTAAATGATCATAGTTTGGTGTTAAAAAACGTTTCTTTCTCTTTCTGTGGGTGAATATGTGTGTTATCCCCCTCAGGCAGAGAGATGAGTAGGGAGTAGGGAACATTAGTTCATAGTGCTGATCTCATGTTCATCGCCCTGGCAACTCCTTTACATTACACTCACTAACCATTTAGGTTATGTCGGAAAAATTACCCATAGTGCACATAGAGCCGTTTGTAGGCTTTTCCCAGGTTTATTCTCTGTCTTTTCCCTCTGGAACTTCAGCTAAACTCTGCCCCTTTGCTCTATCTAATGAACCGTTTGATGTGATTGTGTTTGCACTTGTTTTTGTGTCATTTCTGAGTTTCAAGCCATGTTTAGGATAAAAAAGTGAAGTTGGAGGAATACATTTACGAGCATGATGTTAAATGGTTCCTTGGATTATAGTGGTGTTGTATCTGTTCAAGTCAAGAGGCTCGTATTTGGTTCTGTTCAGTTCTCTGTGCTGGTACAAGGAACATGAGTTAAGCGCTTCCTAACGTAGGTAGAGAAAGAGCAAAGAGCTATAGTGGTAAGGGACTGGAAAATTCTGGAAACTTTCCCAAAATTACCAGGTTTTCCAAAAATCCCAAAGATTGGAATTTTCCATCCCTAATAGTGATTATGAGAAGCCTTCTCATTTGAGCTGAGCAGAGATCTAAGAAACAGCATGGTTTTGTTATAGGAAAGGCAGAAATTATCTAGGTAAGACAACCAAGGTGTTTTGTTTTCAAACCCTCTAGCTGAAGAAGGGCAAGCGGCCCTTCACCCTCCTTATGTCATACTCAAAGCGACTTAAGGTTCAAAGGCTATTTCCACAAGGTAGGATAAACTACCGTACTGTACAAGAAAACTATTCTCCAGCTCTTGATAGTAGTAGCCTAGTTTTTCCTAAGACATATGGTTGTCTGACTGACATCGACCATTCAACTGAGACTTTTCTAATAAAAAATATAAGTGGCAAAACAAAACGTGGTTCGTCTCAGATAACAGGGAATCTGATCAATGAAGGCAAGAAAAATAAAAACTACTTGGAATATTCTCAATGCAGAAATCAATAATACAGTAGTGTTGATTTTTTTAAATGTTATTTCAATAAGCATTACCATGAATTCTAATAGGATAAAATATTTAAAAACTTAATGAAGAGTATAAACATCAATGCATGACGAAGGAAAAAAATATAATCATATTTTTACGATTTTATTTTTTATGTATAAACACTGTACATAAATTACTTTCTCTAAGAGGCTAATATTGATGTACGGATAAGTTTGGAATTTTTTATCTTAATAAAAAATCCATAAAGATAACTGTATCACATTGTTTTTCAAAAGATTGGTTGGATATGATTCTTTCCATTTCATTGATTAACTTCTTTCTCCACACACACACAACTTGTCTCCATTGTATACACACACACACACGCACACACACACACCCACACAACCTCCCGATTCTCAAAACGTCCCACTTTGATCTAGTATTGGTAAAGAAGTCACTTGGTGGGAGCCGTTCTGTCCCTTTTAGAAAGAAAAGCAGGAGAACAAGCAAGTGGTTTCAACATGTGGTTTCAACTGCCTTGTTACCACCATTGGAGAACAACAACACTACTCTTTTTCAGAACGCAATGGTCAAAGGTCAGTCATCAGGATGTAGAATCAGATTATAGACATCGTCCTTTGTAAGAAACCAGAAGGCCTTTTAATATTAGTCCAGACGTGTTGTAGTGGTATGCGTATGTAAACACATTTTTTCTTCCTTTTTTAAATATTTTTTCCGAAAGCAAATTCAGGAAGTTTATTTTAAAAAACGAAACATTTTACAAACCGAGAGTTTTGACTTTTTTTCTCTCTTTTGAAGAGAGTCCACAGTCCATTCAACGCTGTATAGCACATGGGACAAACATCTGCGTCAGTTGAAGCCGTTTTGATCGATTTTCAGGCCCCACAGTGGTAGTATTAGGTTCAGTTCAGTTTGAGATATTTCTACATTTGACTGTGTTTGTTTCAGGTAGGCGGCGCTAAACACAGCACTAGCCTGGACCCTCCCACTTTTTAGAGAAAAGGGGGGAGGCGAGGGAGGTTGGTGGGGAGGATTCGGGATTTGGAGGGGTAGTCGCTTTGGCGGCCAGTGCTGAGGAATTCTGTCTGTTACCTCTTCCCTATTTCGCTCTGCCTGAGGAACTGGATGTTGTTAGCGGAGTCTGCTAGCTCGGGGTACTGCTCTATGGAGAGGACGTAGTACCCGTCGTAGCCCAGCACCTTCCCTCCGCTCAGCAGCTGCCTCTTCTCCCCCTCTGTCCACAGCCTCACCCCCTCCTCCCCCTCCCTCACCCGTTGTTGCTCCCTGGACCAGGCGCTCGCCAACGCCTTCTGCCTGGCCTGCTCCAGCACACGCGCCTTCTCCTCGTCCAGAGTCATGCCGTAGCGCACGTGGAGCGCCAGTGCGCCGTACTGCAGCTCCACGTCGGCGAAGCGCCGCGTTCTGCCGTTCACCACGGTGGTGGACTGGGACACAGTCACGTTGACTCCGTTCTCCAGCGACTTCCTCCCGCTTGTCAGCCTCAACGCTCCCAGGTCGCTCTCCGGTAGGCTCGTCTTGATGAAGTAGTGCGTGTCGCGTCCCTCCACCGTGAAGTGTAGGTCCTCCAGGTAGAAAGCATTGTTGAGGACGGCGGCGACCTTTATGCAGTCCTCGTTGGCGATATTTAGAGCGTTGGTGACCACACGGCCCTGCGTCACCGCCAACATAACACCCTTACCGATCAGCGACTTGGCGGTGGCGAACCACAGCCAGGGTTTGTCCCGGTTGGAGCGCCGGCGGCTCAACTGGATCTCCGGCATCCTCTCGAAGGAAAGGAAGGCCTTGGCTTGCCGGGTCACTTCTTGTTGCACCCCTGAGATGGACTGATGGGAGGAAAGAGGGAGGAGTCAGAAAAGGGGGAGAAGAGAGGGAGGAGAGAGAGGAGAGAGAGAAACGTCTAAGTTACACAGATAGAAAATCCGAACTCTCTCTACTTGTCATGGACAGATATAACAGAAACTTTTAGGGGGTTGCTCTAGCCTCAGTTTGTAAAACCTGTTGTGTGTCTTTACCCACTGGGCACACACTGGTTAAATCCACATTGTTTCTATGGCATTTCAATGAAATTACGTTGAACCAACGTAGAATAGATGTTGAATTGACGTCTGTGCCCAGTGGGTGGCTATTCCCCTAGTACTGTGTTATCTCAATAAAAACAAAATTGTTCTCCCAACAACGAGGGACAATATGAAACCAAATCCCAGATTGCCATGGTGAAAAAGTATCCCAGCTTCAGTCATTCAAAGGTTCCCTTTCTTCTAGAAATGTCCTATTTATATGGAGACAAAACAATGAATATTGTTTCAGCAAGAAAAAGATCACAGGGAGAACTTTTGTTTGTTTGTCATGAGAAAAAACCCAACTGCAACGACAACAAAAATGTTTTTTTTAAAAGTTTTTTTTAAGAAATAGGGGATTGTTGGGCAGGAGGAGCAACAGCACATCTTGTTAATTTCACACAGAGAGAAGAAGAAGTGACAGTCATGGCAACGTAATTAAACCAATAAGGGACTAATTTGCACTTCAAATACGTGTGTATAATTTCTTTATTTTAAGACAAACCGGAGGATGATTCAGCGGCGGTATAATTGGTGTGTGTGTCTGTGTGCGTGTGATCTCTCTGTAGCCGTGGGTGAACTGTGGACCACCCTGAATGTTGTTTGTCTCTTCTTCTCTGGCGGTGCGTCTTAACAAGCTAAATCAACACGGTGGGTTGGTTGGTCTTCCAGCCAGCTGTGCTGTGAGGTTGTACAACCACAGTACGGAAATGAGAGTGGAGATAGCTAGCTAAGGTTAATAACCCCCAGAGAGAGGTGGAGCGGTATGACAGTAGAGATAGAGTAAATAAACTAGACTAGAGGGAGGGAGACGGAGGGATACGTCATACCGGAAGGTTGTAATAAACCAGAATGAGGCGGAGGGATCTAACAGTGGAGAGATACTGGGTAAATTAACCCCAGAGAGAGGCGGATAGTACTATAGTGGCAATATAGGGTAAATAAGCTGAAGGGGGGAGGAAGGGAGGAATAGGGGAGGATGGAGGGGTGGAGGGAGGTAGGAAGGCGGAGGGATACTACATACCGGCAGGTCGTCCCAGAGCTGGCTCTTCTTCATCTCCAGGGACGGCTGTGTGAGATCAAACTTTGGGATGGGGAACCCGGGGATGGCATTGTGAAGGTGGAACCCAAACGTCACTAGCCAGATATTGACATCTGTAACCATAGAAAAGTGAATTACATTGTGACAGTAACAGAATAGGCCCCTGAGGGAAATTATGTCCCAATGTTTCATATTAGGAAAGGAATAACTTTATTTTCCCTGAGGGGAAAATAGTCATTTCTAGTCATACCTTTCATGTTTAGCCAGAACTATTATCATGTGGAAAGGGTAACTGATGAAAACAATAGCAATATCATTGTGATGCATAGCAATGAGGTAATATGCCACCGCTAGACAATTACGAAAGTTCACAGCCATAAAATATTCATACTAATAGTGTATTCACAATAGACTGTTTATCTGTGGTCATCATGCAATGACAACATGTCCCTATTGTATTGCCATAACAGGCCTTACCGTTCTACAGGGCAAGGTACCAGACATATCTAATGAGACCATGATTCTGTGCATTGCAGTACATTGGTTTGTATCTGCTTACCTAAGCTATAGGGAGTAAATCAGAGTGCATTAAATGTAGCATCCCGGTCTCTTACCTGTGACCAACTCCCTTTGTGACCTAGTCTTCCTTCTATAAACCATCTAGAAGGTTTATGTCTTACATAAGCTATAAGAAGTCAACTAGAGTGAATTAAAAGAAGCATCACGGTCTCTCACCTGTGACGTACTCTTTGACCTCGTGAACTTTGCTGACAGGGTTGTTGTTCCGGAACATGTACAGGTTGAACGGCGCCGGGTCTTTCCCGACTCTCGTCCACGTCCCGATGTCTGGGGTGGTCCAGCGCCCCGCCGGGATGTCATAGTCCCGGTCCCCGAAATGCAGCAAGCGTGTCAGGGGGTCGTAGAGACCCCCGTGGAAGCCGATCACCAGGACAAAGTCGGGGTTGGAGTCAAAGTAGACCTCGCCATAGGCCGTGTACTGAACCTAGAAAATAATCATTAAATACATTTAATAACTAACACGCTGGATATGTAGATTTAGATACTTTTAGATTTAGACTAGCTTTTATTGGATGTCAAATCCAACTATCAACACACAGAACACATAGAGGATCGGGGACTGTACATGAGGCCTTTCTAACTGATCTAAAACCTTACCTGCTTCAGAAGAAGCCCATTACTACTGAACACTGCTAGAGGGGTTCCGGTGTTGTCACAGGCGATATAGAACTCCTCTCCGCTACTGATCTCCATGGCGAAGAGGTGTCCCTGCAGGTCGTAGTAGAGAGATGTGATCTCTGAGCTGCTGTGGTTGTAGACGTGAGTGATCCTGGTCGGGTAGTTCAGGTCTGCATAGAAGAACTGCAGGTGCTGGCCCAGGCTGGTTCTGGAGGCCACCCGGCGGCCCAACCCGTCGTAGCGGTACTGGATGGTCCAACTGTTGGGGTAGGGGGAGGGAGAGGGAGAAAGAGAGAGAGAGAGAGAGAGAGAGAGAGAGAGAGAGAGAGAGTGAGATGAGAAAGAGATGAGAGATTTTACAATTAGGAAACATTACAGAGTATTAATAGCAGTGAAGGATGAATTATTTGAAACAATTGACACATTTTAAACATACAATAATTATCATCAAACAACACAATAGAAATGAAATACATATCCCCCCCAAAAAAATAAAAAACCTGTCAGTGGTCCAAGTTGGGTGTATGTTTACAGTGATGTATGGATGGTACAGTCAGGTAAGGTCACCAATCGTCCAACTAACCTGTTGCCTTTGCTGTAGACGCGTTCTAGAAGGCCCTTGGAGTTGTACTCAAAGATCTCAGCTCCTCTCTGTCTCAGGAACCCGTCATCGTCCAAACGGTACTGGACATCCCCGAGCCGCGTGATGCGGTCTCGGAGGTCGAAGCGTAGCGGGGTGAGCCGGGCACTGTTACCCGGGTTGAGCAGGTGGAGGTTGCCGTTAAGGTCGTAGTTGTAGCGCCACATCATCTTCTCGTTGAGGTAGACCGTCTGGAGCTGACCGTCCACGTCGTACTCGTAACCGTACTTGGTCGTGTTGGCGAACGGTCCGATCTTGATCTCGCGTTTCGTCACCCGACCCATGTTGTCATACTGGATAGTGATCCAGTACATGAGGGATCTGAAGATCTCGTACTGGATCTCCTTGATCCGTCCGTGGACGTCGAAGTGCTTGGTGTAGGTCATGACGGCCGTGGAGATGATCTGGTTGATGTCGTAGTAGATAACACCGAACTTTCCGAACTGTTCCACCTTTAAATCAAATCAAACTTTATTTAAAGTGCATTTAAATCACAAACACACTTTTAGTAAAGTAATGAAATGTGAGAGATAAAAAAAGCGATAAAATAGATAAATAAAAATGATGTCTAAAATAACAATTAAATCATTGATTGAAGGGGCCATTTGGGATTGGTACATACATTATTGGACTTTTAAATAAATTAAATTATAGCCATTGATTCTTGAGGAATGTAACTTATGAATGTCTTACTCCATCAGGAAGGTTTTAAAAAAAGTTTTAGACATGATTGAAGAACCTCACCTTCCCGGAGATGTCATCAAACTGGTAGAGGTCGATGGGCAGCGGTGTCTCGTTGATGACAGCCTGCATGCTGGTGACCCGGAAGCTGTTGTCGTAGGTATAATCAAACCGTGCATTCACCATGCCATCCTCACTGAACCGGAAGATCTGCCGGTCCACCAACGGTCCAATCTGCCGGTACCGGATGGAACAGATGAACCCTTCACTCTGGAGGTTCACCGTCTTCAGCACACCGGCTGTCTCATCGTAGGTGAAGCTAACCCTCGTAGAATCATACAAGATCTCGGCCATTTTGTTCTGTCTTCGGTACTTGTAGAGAATTCTACGACCTGTTGATGTAGAAGTGGATGGTTATTCTGTGTACAACACCAACATAAATTCCAAGCAATATTTGTTGAATGGCAATACAGTTTTAGGGAAGTTTTCTGAAAGTTTCTGAAAATGTTCTCTTATTTTATGGATAATATATATATTTTTTTCTTGATGACAGACGAGACAAGGAGTTTAGACACACTCAACACATAACACAACCATAACAGTTCTGACATTTCTCTGACCTGTCCCTAGATGGGCCACTCTGAGGAGCTGTCCGTCTTCGCTGTAGTCAACGGTGACCGAGGCGTTGCTCTCCGGGGGGTTGTAGATGTTGCGATAGTAGCCCAGGGAGCGGATGGTCTGCATGGTGTGACGGGCCACCGAAGGCATGGTGACAGCAGACAGGCGGTCCAACAGGTCGTAGTCAAAGATGTACTGACGCTGGCTGTGGAGCAGGAGCACCATGGACTGGAGGGAGGAGGACGGAGATGGAGGGAGGAGGACGGAGATGGAGGGAGGAGGACGGAGATGGAGGGAGGAGGACGGAGATGGAGGGAGGAGGACGGAGATGGAGGGGGAGACGGGGGGTGAGATGGGGGAGGGAGGAGGAGGACGGAGATGGCGTTGTTCGTGTTTCGTCTGTTCTTCCCTTTCTGTCAGCCTTGCCTTCTCTGTCTATTTTCCTTTCTCGGGTCCTTCTTTCTGTGCTTTTCTTTTGTTCGTTCTTCTCTTCCTTTGTTTCTGCTTGGTCCCTCGTGCCTTTCTGGCTCCCCTTTTTTGTTCGCCGCTTCTCTCTTGGGGCGCCTTGGCGGCCCCTGGCCTGTGCCAGGGCTCTTGGGGGCGTCCTGGGCTGCCCTGCTCTCGCGCGTGCGACTTTTGCCGCTCACGCACTGCGGGCTGTAATATCCACTTCTTCACTCTAATGTCCCATTCCATTCACCTGCTAGCGCAACAGCAGGTATACTCCCCTCCTTTCCTTTCTCTTTTTTCTTTTCCTGTCGTTCCTCTTTCCTCCTTCTTTCGCTTTTCTCCCTCCTCCTTCCTTCCTCCTCATGTCACATCCTTTCCTCTCTTCCTTTACGCCTCGTTAACTACCATTTCCTAAATTTCTCTCTTTTATTGGTTTCCTTGCTCTCCCCTCCTTCTTCCGCTTCTCGTAACGGCAACGCCTTCCCCTTTTAGCCATCGTCCCGTACCTCTCATGTCACTATGCTACATGCATATATCCTAAAAGCAGTACTTGCTAATTCAGGTTGGCCTTTGCTGGCACTCTCCTTTCTTCTCCTCGCCGTGTGTGTGTGTGTGTGTGTGTGTGTGTGTGTGTGTGTGTGTGGAGTAGTGTAGGGTCTACCTTCTTATCTCATAAAGGTAGGCACCAGTGGAAGTCACAATCACTTAGCCAAACAGCAGGTAATTAGCTACTTTGCATAGCGGCGGGGGGGGGGAGAGTGGAAGTGGATGGCGACGTCTGAAATGGCAACCTGTTCCCTATGTAGCGCAATACTTTTGAACAGGGGGCCAATGGGGCTGTGGTTAAAAGTACTGCACTACATACGGAATTGGCTGCCATTCGGGACGCAGTCGTTATGCTAGTTGGTCGTACTTTCAACAACAAAACAATTGACTGAAGAACGGGGCCCATAAGAAGGAAGTAGAATAGACGAGCAGTGCACCTTAGTGAGTCAACAACAACAACAACAACAACACTGGCACATCACTCCAGTCCCTCCAGGATTCAGATATGCATCTCTGCCTGCCTCAGTGCCTTACTGTGTGTGTATTGTGTGTGTGTGTGTGTGTGTGTGTGTATACGCGTCGGTTTGTTTGTGTGTATGTGTGTCTCTCTCTCTCTCTCTCTACAGAGGGAGTCTGCCTGGTGGATCCTTCACCTTGCCTGTCATACATGGACAGACATTACTCAAGCTCCCCAGGCACTGGGTGTGTGTCCCTGTGTATGTTTGTGTGTCTGTTTCTCTGTATCTGTGTGTGTGTGTGTCTATGTGTGTGTGTGTGTGTGTGTGTGTATGTTGCTACTGTGGCAACATATGTTTGGCCGGTGATGTTCCTCTTGCTGGTCACTCTACCAGAGTTCTTGGCTGGCAGGCAACCACCGGGTGGGTGGGTGGTGTGTGTGTTGTTGTTGTGTGTGTTTGTGTGTGTGTGCAGGCAGGCAGATGATGGCCGTGTGGGAGGGAGGGTGGTGGGGGAAACCATACATATTTAATGAGCGAACAGACACAGGCACGCACGCACACACACACTTTTTAGCCCTGTTTCAAACTTATACTGAACAAAAATATAAACGCAACGTGTAACATTTTCAACGATTTTACTGACTTACAGTTCATATAAGGAAATCAGTCAATTTAAATAAAATCATTAGGCCCTAATCTATGGATTTCACATGACTGGGAATATAGATATGCATCAGTTGGTCACAGATACCTTAAAAAAATTAAAGTGTTGGGCGTGGATCAGAAAACCAGTCAGTATCTGGTGTGACCACCATTTGCCTCATGTAGCGCGACACATCTCCTTCGCATAGAGTTGATCAGGCCGCTGATTGTGGCCTGTGGAATGTTGTCCCACTCCTCTTCAATGGCTGTGCGAAGTTGCTGGATATTGGCGGGAACTTGAACACGCTGTCGTACACGTCGATCCAGAGCATCCCAAATATGCTCAATGGGTGACATGTCTGGTGAGTATGCAGGCCATGGAAGAACTGGGACATTTTCAGCTTCCAGGAATTGTGTACAGATCCTTGCAACATGGGGCCGTGCATTATCACGCTGAAACATGAGGTGATGTCGGCGGATGAATGGCACTACAATGGTCCTCAGGATCTCATCACGTATCTTTGTGCATTCAAATTGCCATCGATAAAATGCAATTGTGTTCGTTGTATCTAGCTTATGCCTGCCCATACCATAACCCCACCGCCACCATGGGGCACTCTGTTCACAACGTTGACATCAGCAAACCGCTCGCCCACACGACGCCATACACGTGGTCTGCAGTTGTGAGGCCGGTTGGACGTACAGCCAAATTCTCTAAAACGACGTTAGAGGAGGCTTATGGTAGAGAAATTAACATTCAATTCTCTGGCAACAGCTCTGGTGGACATTCCTGCAGTCAGCATGCCAATTGCACGCTCCCTCAAAACTTGAGACATCTGTGGCATTGTGTTGTGTGACAAAACTGCACAATTTAGAGAGGCTTTTTATTGTCCCCAGCACACGGTGCCCCTGTGTAATGATCATGATGTTTAATCAGCTTCTTGATATGCCACACCTGTCAGGGGGATGGATTATCTTGGCAAAGGAGAAATGCTCACTAAAAGGGATGTAAATACATTTGTATGGGATCTTTCATTTCAGCTCATGAAACATGGGACCAACACTTTACATGTTGCGTTTATATTTTTGTTCAGTGTAGTTTACTCATGATGTAAACGTAACCTCTTTGATCGTCTCTACAGTTTGTCCTGGAAGGGAGAAGGGAGAAAAGTTTCTGCTACTCTGGGGAATCATCTTGGGATGATTTATTCTCTCTCTCTCTCTCTCTCTCTCTCTCTCTCTCTCTCTCTCTCTCTCTCTCTCTCTCTCTCTCTCTCTCACCCTCTCTCTCTCTCACCCTCTACCACCCTCTCTCTAATTCTTCTCTATCTCCCTCTCCTTCTGTACTCTCCATATTTCTCTCTCTCTGTTCTCTCTGTGTTGTGTCCCTGTGGCCTCCCTTCTGTCAAACCCGGCTCCAGCCTTCTTCCTCTCCTAACTCTGTCTTACTACCCTCTTAAGCCATCTCTCTGTACCTAAATCCCCATGTCATCTCCCCTGCTGTTCTCGCTCTCTCCTCCTCTCCTCCCTCTCTCTTTGCTCGCTCTCTCTCTCTCTCTCTCTCTCTCCTCTCTCTCTTCCTCCTCTCTCTTGTTCTCTCCTCTCTTCCTCTCTCTCCTCAATGTCTTCTCTCTCTCTCTCTCTCTCGCTCTCCTCCCTCTCTTTGTCTCTCTCTATCTCTCTCTCTCTCTCTCCTCTCTCTCTCTCTCTCTCCTCCCTCTCTTTGTCTCTCTCTCTCTCTCTCGCTCTCCTCCCTCTCTTTGTCTCTCTCTCTCTCTCTCTCTCTCTCCTCTTCCTCCCTCTCATTCTTCTCTCTCTCTCTCTCTCTCCTCTCATCCTCCCTCTCTTTGTCTCTCTCTCTTCTCACTATCCTCTTACTACCTAACTCTCTCTCTCTCTCTCCTCCATCTCTTTGTCTCTCTCTCTTCCTATATCCCTTACTACCTAAAGGGAATAAGCTCCTTTTATAGAGTCTGTGCCGACTCCCTAGTATATTTTTCAAAGCATCTTTTCTGTTTTGACACTCATAGCTTTCAAGGGGGCCTTCAATTACTTTTGTGGCTTTTTTATTTTTTCACTGGTTTCATCTTCAGAAAATAACCTTGTGTTTTTTTGTGGTGACAATGAAAATAGACGACTATCACCACCACTAATCCTTTTGTCACAGGAGGTGCGCCAGTCTCTATAGATTTGAACAGCTCATCTATGGGTAAAGAGGGACAGAAAGTGTTTGTGTGTGTGTGTGTGTGTGTGTGTGTGTGTAAGGGTAAAGTTTACTGGGCGTGCATTAGGGAGACTCACAGCGTATTTAGCACCTGATGCTGTAATGCCAGGGTGTAGGAACACTGAGCTTTAGCACACAGCAGTGGAGTTTAAGGGTGACATTTTGACAGCAAACAAGCGGGGCTGCGTTTGACATGGACCATATCGGTTCAACTACTCACCAAAACACTAATTGGAATGCAACAGATCGGTGATGCAAGCGCATTCACACTAAGTAATCAAGTACTTTTTCACAATGGTTTTGCATTGTCAATATGGGGTGTTTGCTGGTGTTGCTGATCATGAGACCAGAGTGTGCATATGCGTGTGTGGGTGTGAGTTTTCCTGACTCCCTAGTTTAGGGTTCCCCAAAAACACCAGGAAATCAGCTCCAAGTGATTTTAATTTAAGAAATCTGTTCCCAAGTATTCCCACGCATAATAGAGAGAAACGACGTGATCGTATACAAATGTAAGCAAGGTTTGAAATTATTATGATTTAGTCAAACATTATATCTGTTTGGGATTCTTGCGGTCAATTTGTAGTCTACACATGATTTGTAATGTTCCGGCCCCCCGACCCAGAAAAAATTGGCCCACGGCTGAATCTAGTTGATGATCCCTGCCCTAGTTCCTACCTTATCCAGGTATGTATAACTCCAGGTCTTTCCGTCGGCGAACACTCGGGACACAATCCTCCCTTGACCATCGTACTCCACCCTCTCTGTTGTGGGACCCCTCTGTAGGCTGGTCACCTGCCCCGTGCTGGAGTAGGTAAGGTTGACTGACAGCAGCTTACTGCTGGGGACCCATAGAGTAGGATGACCCTGGGTGTCGTACACGATCTTCAGCAGGAACTTCCTGTGGTCGTCGTAGATCTTTTCTGTCCGGAGAGCTCGGTCGTAATCCACCGAGAGAAGGTTTCTGCCATTCACCTTTAGAGAAAAGACGAAGGATTGGACAGTTTTAGCTAGAATATTGTAAAAATCCAATAATAATATAATAATAAAAAGGTTTGCAGTCTAAGGAGTAATGTTTATTAACAAATACCTTATTTCGACTTTATTCAGATTCGGACAGATTGTTGAACTTTTAAAACAAAAAACTAACAAACACACAGGAGAAATTATGAAACTGTGAACTGAACCGGCTTTCAAAGTCAATTCCAGACACAGAACCGCTATTTATCGCTTCGCAATGACCCCGCTGTTTGTTTCAACCGCCGTTTACCGTGATCGATTCTCAAGAGCGACACTAAATTCATTTAAAGGATTATTAGCATTCGATTAGCTGTTATTGTGAAGGGAGTTTCATTAGAGTGAGAGACTGGCTGGCATGTGTTCAAAGTCCTGCTTTTGGCTGCTTTCATAAATTATCCCCCCTAGGAATTCAGCGAGGTGGAGAGCGAGAGAGACACAGAGAGACAGAGAGAATGAGAAAGAGAGAGAAAGAAAAACAGAGAACCAGAGTGACGAGAGAGAGAAAGAGAGAGAGAGAATAAGAATAATATTGTGGTGGTAACCATGCAGAGTTTTTCTCTCTCAGCCTAGTGGGAGCTGAGACTCATTTGAAGATGACAGGGGCCTTCGGAATGCCTGCCGAGACACACCCAGACACTAGCCAACAGAACGTGATCCCGGCCTCAATTTATTTCCCATAAGAAAGCATCCTGCTGGGATGGATGCCTTGGGGATACCTACCTAGCCTACCTGCCGCCCCCCCCATGAGCTTTTCAAGTTGCCAGCAAAACTTAGGAAGAAGAAAAAATATGGCCTTCATGTTTTTTTTATAAGCGAGGGCCCCTGATTCCTCCTGGACATTCTTCAGTAATGAGATGAGGAGGCTGAGAACTAAGCAGACATAGGATGCGTCCCAAATGCCATCCTATTCTTTACATATTGCATATACAGTGTCCCTATGGGTCTTGGTCAAAAGTAGTGCACTATATAGGGAATAGGGTGCCATTCGGGACAGACAGAGAGTAGTCTTTGGAGAAAGAGATGAAGACACAGTTGTTACCTTGGAGACCAGCCCTCTTCTCTGACAGAGGGAACGGTAAACAAAAGTATACCTTTTCCTTTGTTGGACAGATGGTAATGACTTTCAAAATACGTCTTTGATGTTGGAGGAGACAAAACATTCAAACAATAAAGCATCGGCGTCCCTCGCTAATCGCTGACAAACTGTCACTAATTTGAGCCGTTTAGATGGTGATAATGAGGAGACAGAAATGTTGACAATGAAACTGAAGACTACTTGATATGGAAAATGGTCTCACTTCCTTTCAGTGGTTAAATCGACATTGTAGTTAACAACCAACCTCGACCAAGACCCTTCCTATATTGTAGCGTATGTTTGAATGATGTTGTGGTAAAAACGAGAAGGAAGTGGCAGCCAAAGATCTGACTAAATCATCTCCAAGGGAAGAGAGAGGCTGTGAAACGCCAACTGTCAGAATCCACATAAGAAACCCCTAGACATAACTGGTAATAATGATGTTTTAACCAGCTATGCCCGCTGGGAAGCGTGTGAAAGGTGCCAAGCTGTCACAGCAAAAAAAATAAAAAAAGAAACCCCCAACCTCCACATCTGCCTACAAATCAAAATGTCAGCTGCTCTCTTTTGCCTTATGCCTAACCCTAAATCAAGACCAAATACCTCATTTACCTGTTCATATATTTAGATGATATAGCTAATTGCATAAACAAAACAAAACAACCTAAATAAAATGGCTGCCACTCTCCTCTTCCTCTTCCTCCCTCCACCATCCTCCCTTCTCACCCTGAGCTTCCTTCCGAACACGATGACTTTCCCCCGGGTCTGCTCTTTGCGGAAGCGCCACTCCACCAGGTTCTGCCCGTTCTCCCCGGGCAGCGTCATGTTCCTCCGTGCCACTGTGGGGTTGGCAGCGCCCGCCAGGATGTGCGGCTCCGTCTGGTAGTGTGTGTCCATCCCGTTGGCATAGATCACCCTCAGAGAGTGGTCGTAACCCACCTGGTAGCTGTTCCTTAGTTGGTCTGTGGTGGAGAGAAAGAAACAAAGTCGAAAATGTTTTAGTTCCATGAAGACAATAACAAAGATTATAAACTGGGTGGTTCGAGCCCTGAATGCTGATTGGCTGACAGCCGTGGTTTTTTTACTGCTCTAATTACGTTGGGAACCAGTTTATAATAGCAATAAGGCACCTCGGGGGTTTGTGGTACATTGCCAATACACCACGGCTATGGGCTGTGTCCAGGCACTCCGCGTTGCGTCGTGCGTAAGAACAGCCCTTAGCCGTGGTTTATTAGCCATATACCACACCCCTTCGGGTCTTATTGCATGAATAAGAAACACCTGATTTCAGATTTGATAACCCCATTCTCCCCTTCTGTTACATAAAGGATGGAAGATTCCTATGTTGGGTCTGCATTGATAGAACCCTTCAAGGTTTCTCTCCTCTCCTCTCCTCTCCTCTCCTCTCCTCTCCTCTCCTCTCCTCTCCTCTCCTCTCCTCTCCTCTCCTCTCCTCTCCTCTCCTCTCCTCTCCTCTCCTCTCCTCTCCTCTCCTCTCCTCTGCTCTCCTCCTGTTCTGTCCTCTCTTCTCCTATCCTCTGTCTACAAACATACATTTACTGTTGTATGATTAAGTATATTGATCTCTGAGCTGTCTTTATTTTATGACCTCTTTAATAATGAAAGGGGATCAGGGATTAATGCCCATTGAGTAATTGGTGAAGTCATTAGTATTGTGTTGACGTTCGACTAATCAATGCTGTTGGTTATCAACGTGGCTCATTAATATTCATGACTGGTACTCACAAAGTTGAGACACACACTCACACAGACAGACAGACCCCCCCCCCCCCCCCCCCTTTACTTACCCTGGACCAGTGTGTAGAAGGAGTCGATGGAGGAGAGGTTGGTGGTGATGCTGACGTCCTCGTCGCGGCCGGACGTCTCAATGTCCACCGTGATGGCCCCGGTCATGTCCCCATGCAGGTTGGTCACCACCCCCGTAGGGAACGTCACGTTGGTTAGACGACCCTCACTGTCATAACTGGAGGGGAGGAGAGGGAGAAAGAAAGAAAGAAAGAAAGAAAGAAAGAAAGAAAGAAAGAAAGAAAAAGGAAGAAGAGAAAGAGAGAGAGAGAGAGAGAGAGAAGACAGAGAGAGAATAATTATATTTTTGCCTTTACTGCTATTAGCCCATACAAACACATTGAATAACATATTCACTACATGGAACAACAGATAGTCCCCCCAAAATATCAAAAGGAAGTTTGTTCTGAAGTGTCTCTCCTATATCTGAGAGATATAAGAAAGATCAGGAAACATTTGTTTTTTTGTACATGTATCTAAGGATACAGTCAGACACTGTAGCACTGTAGTCAAGGACTTCCTCTGGCATTGTGATGTTGAATAGAGTTAGCAGGTAGCAGGTTGAGGGGTTGATGTATGAATGGCTTATGGTTTGTTTGAGGGGATAGGGATCAGGGTTTGGGTTCAGACTCAGAGAAAACCAGTCTATGGCAGTCTTTTTGGCAAGGGCTCTGTGGTAAATGTTTGAGGCTATAGAAGCTGTCCTATGGTGGATCACACTGCAAAGAGAACAACCTGCCTGGCTAGCTGACTAGGGCCTTTGCTGTCCCATATGGCTGGGAGTCTATTTTGGTGCCTGGATGGAATGTAGTCTGTGTGTGTGTGTGTTTCTGAGCTAGCCCACTATCACATTTAGAGAGAGATTTTAGTGACAGCCCTGTGTCTGCCTGTGTCTGTCTTCTCTGGGAGTAAGAAGCACTTTGTGCCTCTCTCCGTCTCATGCTCTTCTCTCTCTCCTCTCTCTGTTCTCCCACTCTCTCTCTTTCCCTCTCTCCCTCCATATCTCCATATTTCCTCCATGGTGACAGTGGGTGTGGCTCCCAGATGAGCTTCCCCTCCAAGCATGACACACACATATGCACGCGCACACACTGTATAATTTACAACTATTCTTCCATGTGTTGGAACGTGGTGCAAGTACGGAAGGTGAAACGGAACGGAAAGTTTTATATAAAGATTTCCCCTGTGTTGTGTGGCGTGTATGTGAGTGTGTGTGTGTAAGTGTATGTGTGTGTGTGTGTGACAGGGTTTTGCTGAGCAGGCATTGTTCAGCCCCCTTGCCTTACTGATACTGATCAGATGAAAGTGCAGAAAATATGGCCGCTGGCTCTATATTATACACACAGCCAATCACTAGAAGATATGATGATGAAGGACATCATGTTGTCAGAGGACTTAAGGGACAAGGGACACTCACAAAAATGGGGACACTGACACACTTCCTTACACAGTCTTAGGGGACAATAGAGGGAGAGAGACTTGTCTTATAGCAGCTATCTCAAACACAACCAGTGGGGCAGTCAGTCATTCAGTCAGATAGTCAGTCAGTCAGAATGGGGCCCCAAGTCTTTGCTGGTCAGTAAGTCCCACTTACTCATAGAAGGTGGTCCATCCTATCTGTATAGTCTTGGTGGCGAGGAGCCCGCTGTTGCCATGGTAGGTGAACAGCACCAGCTCCTGTCCCTGTGCCGTCAGTGTCTTCAACCCGCCATTGGTCCCGATTGTCAGCCAGATCACCTGGTTGTCCGGGGCAACGATCCGCACCGGCATCCGGTTGGGGTCGCGGCGGATCCTCAAGGTGTTGCCACTACTATCCGTCACCGCGGTTACGTCCTCCTCATTGCTATAGCTGAAGTTGTACTTGTAGTCACCGGTGACGAGAGACATGGTGAACTGGTGAGTTCCGTTGGAATCAAACACGTAGAGTTCCTGGGACGCCGGCGAGGCGACCTCGAAGGAGCCCGGGCCGGAAACGGCGGAGCCCGACGGCGGTTGGTTGCGGCGGATGGCGCGGATGCGGATGTTGCCCAGGTCGGCCACGTAGAGCGTACCGTCGGGCGAGACCACAAGCGAGGAGGGCGAGTTGAGGCGGGCGTCTTTGGCATAGCCGTCGCCCGTCTGGTAGCAGTCGCAGTTGGCGTCGTTCTTGCAGTCGCAGTCGGACATAGCCCCGGCCAAGGGCGTGATCTCGCCGTCTGTGGATACCTACATTTACATTTAAAGTAGAGTCATTTAGCAGATGCTCTTATCCAGAGCGACTTACAATCAATGCAATCAACGAAGGTAAAAACAATGATATTCAAAATAGGCGCCATCTGCAAGAACGACAAATACAACAGTACGTTGTTCTTCTTGTTCGCCTCATGACATATTATTGTACTATATTAGAATACTATATGACCTGGCGGATACGGTGTATCTTCTTCTCATCAGTCTCGGCAATGTAGAGCACGCCACTGTAGGAGAGGGCGATGGCAGCAGCTCCCTCCAGCATGGTCTGCACCGCCCGCTTGCCCAGCGTGTACTCTATACCTGGCACCTGGCAGTGCATGGGACGCCCCGCCACGATGCGCACCTGTTGGGACACAACAACAACAACAACAACAACAGCAACACAAGTCAAAGAGGTGACCAGTATTTTGACGAAGGCTTATTCAGCCGCAATGTGTCGGTGCATCCTTTTATCTCGCTTGTTCACGCTACCAGCATGAACTTATTTGTGTATGTAATAGAAGTGTTCCTATGTGGGAACGTGATGGTCACCTGTCTGTTCTCAGTGATCTGCAGCACCACGTTGTTGTCCAGGACATAGATGGAGTTATCCATGGGGTTGATGGCCAGGGCTGTGGGCCACTCCAGACGAATCTACAGTAGAGCAGAGATTTGATTTGATTTATTACGATCCAAATTAGCCGAAGCCAATGGCGAATTACTGGGGTCCGACACACAACGGAAAAGACATTACAGACCCAAAAAATACTTTACAATTTACATACACTTAAAAGAGAAGAAAAATTAAATTAAATAGAAACCTTTATTAGCCTCAAGGGGTAAAAACTCTTTGCAAAAGTTCTGTGAAGATGACAGAAACAAACAAATCAACCCACAAACACAGAATAGATGAGATGTGAGTCTAGTGCTGCTTTGCACCCCCCCTGGCCCCCCTCTACACCCCTCCTTCCACCCATCTAAACCCCCTAAAATACCCCCTCTACCCCTCCCCCTTCCCCCCCCCCTCTACCCCCACTCTCCTCTACCACCCCCCCCTCCTTCCACCCCTCTACCCCTCTACCCCCTCCTCCCCCCTCTACCCCCCCTCCTCTACCCCCTCCTTCCACTCCTCTACCCTCTCCTTCCACCCCTCTACCCCCTCCTCCCCCCTCTACCCCCTCCTCCCCCCTCTGAGCGTCTGGCTGTGACACTGATGAAGAAGGATCCTTTACTTCTCAGGACTTATACATTGTGTGCCTCGCTCTGATTCAATTTAATCAGCCACCGGGTCATTTATTACATTTTAAGACACACACACAGGCACACACTCACTTATGCATGCATGTGCACACACACGCACGCAGACACAGACATACACACTCTGCGAAATGATGTGTTCCCTCATGGCCTGAGGGAAGCAACTGTTTGCTGGCAAAACAAAGAGGAGAGAGAAAGAGAGACGTAAACGTTCAAGTTTTATTGTCTAAACGAGACTTTTCCCTCATCCTCTTTCTATCTCCCCGTGGAGGAGCAGGGTATGTGATGGTTAAGATGATATGAGGAGAACACACTCCCCCCCCCCCACCCCCCAACCCTCCAAAACATACACACTTCTGCACCATTAGTGTTGTAGAGCTCTGGGCATAGCGGTAGTTTGGGTCTGCTCTCTTTGGCCCTGGCCCGTCATCTTCACCCCACCCCTGACCCTGAGTGACCTGGCAGGTAAAGCACCTCAGCAGAGGACCATTAAAAGGTAATGACGCTTTCAGCCTTCAGCTCGACCACATAAAAGCTCTCCCCTGCCAGTTACAGACCATGCATTATACATGGATAAAGCTGTACTAAAAAGAGGCACTATTTGGGCACCATGCAGTGACTGGAAGTTAGACTGTGTTTCTTCCTTCGCCTCTCAAAATGCTACAAATACTTAACCCCTGCTTTTTCCCTGTGGAAATGGAAGTAGAGAAAAGTTGAGGAAAATTAAATGACAACAGAGCGTTCCTGTCTATTCAGATGCACAAAAACATCAGTTGGAAGCCACTGCATCGTCTACTTCTCAACCTAACTCCTGTAGAGAGAGAGAGAGTTGGAGATATAGTGTGATATAGCTTTGAAAGCACTGAGGCAAGAGATGGAGGGGACTGGCCTCGCTACAATATGTGTATGGGAACATTTTATTTCATTCCACCGCCATGTTGAGGTGACAGTGGTGGGACGTTGCAGTGTAACGCGTGCCCCACGTGGATGTGTTTCTGCTGGCTGTTTTAACTGACACAGAGCTGTCTCGGTTTGTTTTTGCTCCATTGAGTCCCAAGCTGCGTCCCAAACGGCACCCTATTCCCTATTTAGTGCACTACTATTCTGGTGTGAAGTAGTGCACTATCTAGGGTGCCATTTGGGACATAGACATACTTCTTCTCCCTCCCTGGCTGGCTGGCTGGCTGCGCTACACTGTGTCTCTTCCCCATTCTTCCCCCCGGACCCAATGGTACTGCATATATGTTCCTCTCTGAATAATTCAACTCTATGTTTCCTCTCTCTCTCCCTCTTTGTCACTGGGGACTCTCTCCCTCGCTCTGTGATTGTGACTGTGCAGAGGAGAAGAGGATGAGAAGGAGGAGGAGTGAGTCCAAAGAAGAAAGGAAGAGAGATGGAGAAGAATGATCTGAGTGAATCTGTCTCTGGGATTTAAAGGTCTGAGTTGTGAGAGACGGGGAATCGGAGGAAGTGAGGTGTAGCGAGGATTGTTATAGGGGTAGCTCAGGGCATACACACAAACGCACACACACACACACATTGATCTAGCTAGCAGTGGAAGGAACAGGGGACTCAGAGACAACACAACAAATACCTGACTTGCCCATACTGGTTATGCATCACATTAGTTCAGTACACTGTCAATATACTTTCAGTCAGAAAACCGACACATTCTCTTGGGCTCTCTCAGTTTGGCCACAAACATCAACAAAACTACCACCATCTAGACAGCACCATCAGTAGCCTATCACTCAAGATAACCCACTACAGTGCTTCACTAAAGCTCAAAATAGCCCATTCTGATTGGATAATCCAGGAGAAGCGCCTAGTAAGACCTCCATTAGGGGAGGCCACTTTCAGGAACATTATTATGATTGACACATCCTATTCCCTCATAATCCTCAGATGATTCTTGTCTTTCAACAATAAAGAGAGATCCAAACTGGACCCTGAAATACCTGGAGTTGGATTTGGCCCATAGTGCTGTTTGGGGTTGGGGTCAGTTCCATTTCAATTAGGCAATTCAGGAAGTGAACAACTGTATAACTTCAATTAGACGGCGAGTTTCAAATAGCCGCCTGTCCCTTTTAATAGCCGGGCAACTGCACACATTTCAGCAAATAAACAGCTGTTTCAAATAAACACTGGGTCTAAATGAATTGTTTACGAGGTTACCATGAATTACCATGAATTGTTTACAAGGTTTAATGCTTGATTTGTTACATAAAATAATTCAGTAATGACTCGAAAAATTATGACAATCATTAGTTTATATCGCCAATAAGAAACTCCTAGCCATTAGCTGCTAACAGCAGAGAACTGCTAGCTAACTGGCAAGCACAAAAACAGTCAACAACTTCGGGAGTACAGAGCCCTAGAAATCGGCCGACCGCCTTCTAATGGCGAAAGTAAGAACAGACGAAAATGCACAGTCAAAGAGGAGAATAATTCAAGGAAAAGTTTTGTTTTTCTGAGGTATAATAAGACAAAAGAAACGTGACACAGTGTGTAAATGATAACAGAGTGCAGGAAATTAAGAAATTTATAAAATTCTGGAAGTGAATGCTCAAATTAAACAATTAACTATGTAAATGAGCAAAAGGTGTGTGCACTAAGGAAATAGACGCCTGGCTCAAATAGAAGCCTGTCTCTAATAAGTGCCTGTTGTTTTCAGTGATTTAAGCAAATAAACGCCCAGGCTATTAATTGAAGTTTTACGGTAAAATTCAAATGTTCTCATTGTGTAATTTCAGTTTACTTCCTGAATTGGTTGAATTGAAATGGAATCGACCCCAACCCTGGCACTGAAACCTAGGCCTGGGGGCAGAGTTCAGCTGTGTTGGTTGACTGGGGCAGGTTTGGGGTTTAGGGAGCGGCCAGCAGGGGGAGCTAAAGGCTTTTAATAGGGGAGAACACAACACACACTGGCTGGTTCTCCCAGATGAGACAACACCCATGTCAATACTAACCAGCCACACCATCTACTACAGTCAACTTCGCAGAGGCTATATGGACTGAATGTTTATTGCCAACTTAACACTTTTATGGTTTCAAAATGCTTTATATAGTAAGGGTGACTGAACCATGTATGTATATAATAATAATATGCCATTTAGCAGACGCTTTTATCCAAAGCGACTTACAGTCATGCGTGCATACATTTTTTTTTTTTGTGTATGGGTGGTCCCGGGGATCGAACCCACTACCTTGGCGTTACAAGCGCCGTGCTCTACCAGCTGAGCTACAGAGGACCATGTATGGCTCTGAACAATGACTCCATGATGGCCACCATTAAGATAAAGTGAATCCAGCAAACACTGGAGGTTGGGTGTGTGTTTGTGCTTAGGTGGATGTCCCTGTGTGTATGTGACCCACCTGTCTGATGTGCATGCTGGTATCACAGGTCAGGGGTCGTGCTGAGGTGAGGTCGTTGGAGCCCAACAGGGTGGAGATGATCCCGTTACGATCCACCTTCCTGATCATGGTCCCGTCTACGAAGTAGATGTACCCGTTCTTATCTACCGTAATACCTGGAGTAGAGGGACAGAGAGGGAAAGTGATGAGAGGTAAGAAGTAGATGTACCAATTATTATTTACCGTAATACCTGGAGTAGAGGGACAGAGGGAAGGGTAGGAGCTTTAGTAGAAGTAGCTGTACCCGTTCTTATCTACCGTAATACCTGGAGTAGAGGGACAGAGGGAAGGGAAGGAGATTTAGTAGAAGTAGATGTACTCGTTCTTATCTAAGGTAATACCTGGAGTAGAAGCAGAGAGATGGAGACTGAGATATTTGCACGTACACATATCTGCGTACGTGCACATTCACACAGACATACTATATGCACATACACACACCGATGCACATGCACACACAGCACCTGCCGGCCTGTACAACGTGTTTGTGTGTATGAGTGTGGCTTGGGCATCTTTCAGGTCACTGCAGAAGGAAGCACCCTGTGAATAATTTACATTTTGATGTCTAGTAGTGAATTATTTCACAGGGCTGAAGAGGAAGGGCGGGAGGGAGGTAGGAAAATAAGCAATTTTCAGTGCCGTCTCTGCATTTAAAAAAAAAACCAAAATAAGAAAAATAGAATATAATCAAATCAAATGTGTGAATCTATAACTGTCTCTATTTTGGGGATGAGAGTCTAGGAGAGAGGAGGAAGGTAAAACAACACCCATGTTTCTGGTGGGAGGGAAGGATGGAAGGAGGGAGGGAGGGAGGGAGGAGCAGGGGGGTTAGTTCATCTTCACTTCACATCCAAATGGATGAGAAACAGACTGTTGCTATGGTTGCGACAACAGCAGCTTAAAGCAACTTCTCTCCCGTGTGTGTATCTGAGGTCCGCGCTCCTGAGGCGGTGTGTGTTCCTGCTCCACTGCTGATCCTATAGGGTGGGGTTTGAGGGGGAGGGGAAGGTGAAGGGAAAGAGGGAGGGGGAGGGGGAGGAGAGAAAAAAGGGATGGGAGGGGAGGGGTGTTAAAAAAAAAACTGCCGCATTCCGCCATGACCAGCAAGCTAATGAAAGGAGAGACAGATGAAGAGAGAGGAGGATGGGATGAGAGGAGGAAGATGTAGGGAGGAGAGAAGAGAGAGAGGAGGAGAGAAGAGAGGTAGGGAGGAGAGAAGAGAGAGTGGAGGAGAGAAGAGAGAGAGGAGGAGAGGGTGGGATGAAAATAAGGGAGAATAGGAGAGGAGTGGCAAGGCGGAGAGGAGAGGAGGCATGTTGGGAATGAAAACACTCTCGCTCTCTCTTCTCTCCATCCCTCTCTCTCTCTAAGCCATCTGCTGCTAGCGACGGCTTGCTAACATTTATTTGCATTTCTCTCTCTTTCCCTCTCTCACACGTTCCCGCCCTCCTAATGGTCTTCAGACTCGCTCTCTAACTGCGGTTTAACAGGCAGCTGTGTGTGTGTGTGTGTGTGTGTGAGATAGTCCTGTGTGTGTGTAAGGGCTCTCTCCATTAAAATCTAGACTAAAAGCTTGTGCCTGCCAAAATCTCCCAGCTACTGCACAGCCACCTCTCACCTCATTACCGCCGGGGTGTGTGTGATAGTCACACCTGTGGGTTAGACAGGTTTTATGTGGGCTGGCTGGTGCGGCGGGACAGACAGACTGACAGATTGTCTGAAGTGGAGGGTTGGAGGCCATACTAAGCGAGGCTACAGTCCAACAGTATGTGGGAAGGGTATGTGAGTCTGAGTCTGTGTGGTTGTGTGCTAATGCCATGGCAGCATAATGGCAGTATAATGGTAGCATAATGGGGATGGAAGCTCGCGGGGGAAAAGTGCTAAAGCCTTTTACCAGGGGTTGGTCTGTTTTTCTCTACAGGGAACTGTGCATGAATTATACACCAGACCAATATTCCTGTGTGTGTGTGTTTTGGTGTCTGTACCAATGTCCTGTGTAGTTGTGTGTTTCTCTGTACAGGGCACTGTGAATGTACTATGTTCATCATTTTGGTGTCTGTACTGTGTGTGTTTATTCCTCTGTCACCCTACCTTTGGGTCCCATGAGGAGGGCCTCTGTGGCCTTGCCCCCGTCCCCGCAGCGTGCCTCGTCAAAGGGGGGACACTGCTCCCCAGTCCCCGCCACCACCTCTCCGTTCTGGAGCAGCTCCTTGGTGCCCATCAGGACCTTGGGCCGGTAGATGCGGCGGGAGTTGGTGTCTGACACGTACAGCTGCCCCGTAACCGGGTCTGTCGTCAGGTAGTACCGGTGGGCCGGGTTGTTGCTACGGAAAGCAAAGTGGAGGAAGAGTTGACAGTTAGGGACAGTGAAATAGTGACACTACAGAACTCAAACTACAACTTGACATCCACACTTCACATAAAGATACCATACCACCAACAAGGAAACGGAACAAATGAACACAGATGGGTTCCTTTTTATAACAGCGTCCATTTTGTGCCTGTGGCACATCATAATAGAGGTGTTAGAGGAGGGGGTACACGGTTCCACAGTGGCATATGGCCTCAGCCGGGGTGAACCTAACACGATGCGACTGCTGATCACTATCGTCTGACATGCTCCTAATGATGCCCAGTAACCTGTCACATTCGCTCCATCATCGCCTGCTTGGTGAGCTGGGCGCCGGCGGTTGCCGTAGCGGTTGATGAAAGTCAACAACTGATCAACGGGCGTCAATTAAGATGGCTTAAAATAGGTGGAAGGACCCAGACACCTCACGCCAAGGACAGGCTGGCTAGTCTAGTCGGGGCTTTTTAGGGCAGGCAAGCTGTTTCTAATGACACACTCATGGCTAGAGAGATAGAGAAAGATAGAGAGGGAGAGAGACAGAGAGAGACACTGTTTATAGACATAATATGACATTTGAAATGTCTTTATTATTTTGGAACTTTTGTGAGGGTAATGTTTACTGTTCATTTTTTATTGTTTATTTCACTTTTGTTTATCATCTATTTCACTTGCTTTGGCTATGTAAACATATGTTTCCCATGCCAATAAAGCCCTTTGAATTGAAAATTGAATTGCGAGAGAGAGAGAGAGAGAGAGAGAGAGAGAGAGAGAGAGAGAGAGAGAGAGAGAGAGAGAGAGAGAGAGAGAGAGAGAGAGAGCAATATGTCTGGTTTCTCCAGAAAAAAACGACATTTCAGGCTTCAGCCCAGGGGATCCAAGATAAACAGAATAATGTTTTTTTTTTTTTTTTTTTTTTTTTTTTACATTGGAGCATTTGACTGTCTTTGCACTTTGCTCTCACCGACACTCCACTGTACTCTTAGTGCCCACTTCACCTGCAGGTAAAGGTAGACAGGAAAACATTCTGGGAAGTAAATAACACAGAAGCTTGAATATGAATCTGTCATCAGCGACTCAGTCAGAGCGAGAACGGTTACGAAAGAGTGTCGCTTCAGGCAAGAGTAAAAAATCAGGGAGACAGACACCACCACTCCTCCATGTTGCGGTGAATCTTTACATTTCTTTAACAAATATGACAAGAGGCAGGTGTTTCTTTGTCACTGAGGGCTAAAGACAAGGAGGATTTACACAGAGGATAACACAGAGGCAAACACAGAGGCAAACACAGAGGCAAACAGCTAATAAGAAGCTGAAGCTCAAAAGACAAAACATTGAATGATAACAAATGTGTGTGTTTGTGTGTGAGTGTGCAAGTGTGTGTGGATACTCCTTCATTAAAGTGGTTCTGAGGAGCTTTGAGGTCAACAGTCTGTTCAGTTTACAAAGCTCAGCGGAGCAAGGGGGTCAATACCGCTAGTCTTAATGACACTCCCAAATGGAGCGAGACGTCTGGGTGTGTGTATGTCTGTGTCTGTACCGTGTGTGTGTGTGTGTGTGTGTGTATGTGTATGTGTGTGTGTGTGTGTGTGTGTGTGTGTGTGTGCGTGTGAGGGACTAGGATGAATGCGTCTGACACTAAAGGAGTCTCTGTGATGCATTAGACGCCTCGCAAATGAATGGCCCCAAATGGTTATTAATTCATTACCATTAATTCATAATGGGAAATTATTATTGTTACCCTGAAGTACTGAGGAATGAATGAGTGGGCTGGGGACGCATTTCTAAAAAGACCTCTCTATTTTCACCATTATTGTCATTCTGTCATACTGAAACTATACTGAACCAAAATATAAAGGTAACATGCAACAATTTCAAAGATTTTACTGAGTTAGAGTTCATATCAGGAAATCAGTCAATTGAAATACATAAATTAGGCCCTAATCTATGGATTTCACATGACTGGGAATACAGATATGCATCTGTTGGTCACAGATACCTTTTAAAAAAACAATCAGAAAACCAGTCAGTATCTGGTGTAACCACCATTTGACTCATGACAGCTTTTGATTGTGGCCATGAAGTCGCACTCCTCATCGTGGCTGTGCGATTGCTGGTATTGGCATAGGATGTTTTGTCGATGGAGATGCGAAACATGGGTGACATTGGCTCAGGAATGGAAAATCACGTTTTAACATGGAGTGTCCAGAGCATCCTCAATCTCATCATGTCTTCATGGCATCATTGCATCATAAATGCATTGTGGTGTCCGAGTATGCTGCCATACCATAACCCCCACCCACTGGGCACCGTCAGCAAACGGCTCGCCCACACATTGTACATGCTTCTGCAGGTTGCCCGGTACAGTTGAACCGGGTATTATCATGGAGCCTCCGCTGCCGTGGCCATCGAGGTGAGTCATTGCCACTGAATCTGAGACGCCGACGCAGTCAAGTCAACCCTGGTGGGACGACGCAGCAATGAGCTCCTGAACGTTGTTTGTGCAGAAATTCTTCGGTTGTGCAAACCCACAGTTTCATCAGTTATCCAGGTGGCTGGTCTCAGACGATCCCGCAGGTGAAGAAGCCAGATGTGTAGGTCCTGAACTGGCGTGGTTACATGTAGTCTGCGGTTGTGAGGTCGGTTGGACGTACTGCCAAATTCTCTAAAACGACGGCTTATGGTAGAGAAATGATCATTAAATTCTCTGGCAACAGCTCTGGTGGACATTCCTACAGTCAGCATGCCAATTGCACGCTCGATCCAAACTTGAGAATTCTGTGGCATTGTTGTGTGACAAAACTGCAGATTTTAGAGTGGCCTTTTATTGTCCCCAGCACAAGGTGCACCTGTGTAATGATCATGCTGTTTAATCAGCTTCTTGATATGCCACACCTGTGAGGTGGATGGATTATCTTGGCAAAGGAGAAATGCTAACTAACAGGGATGTAAACAAATTTGAGAAAACAAGTTTTTGACTGGCTGGGCCAGTCAAAGTTATTCCCCATGGCCCAAGCTACATTATCATCATGAAGGAATGTTCTTCCTCTCCTCTGATCATTTTCCAGATATCCCACCCTTCTCCTCTTTATAGAAAGGCACCTCCTCCATCTCTTCTTCTCCTCCTCAGAGGTATCCCTCTTTGTCCTTGCTGTGTGGGCCCCATCAGCCTATGATGACAGCACAGCACATCCCGTCTGACGTATGAACAATAGGCCTGATTTAGCGCGAACCAACACTAGTCAGGAACACACAGAGAGAGCAGCTCTGAGCACCACCATAGTTCCTCCTCTTCTCTCTCCTCTCCTCTTCATCTAGACTTGAACCCGGGTCTTGTCCTCACTCCTCTTGGCCAAAGGGTCCCAACCGTACAACACAGAGGAACCCCTCAAAACATTTCGCTAGTTAGCTTTTTTAGCAGGCGTGTCTTTTATAATGTGCTTCACAAATGACTAGGGGGTTCTAGATGGTTCCAGCGGGTTTGTAGGCAGATAAAGGAGTCCGATTTGCCGAGAGCTGTTGTCGGCCAATCCGCTAGAATGATCCTGAAATCCCTCTAAAGCCTTTATGTAAAGACAGCGACTGTATTCTATGGACGAGCTGCCACTAGGGTTTACACAGGGGACAGAGAGAGAGAGAGAGAAACAAGACTGGTATGGATCTGTGGTACATTGTTATATTGTTACTGAGGCTTACCTATGTCTGAAATCTTTATTTCTTAGAGGAGCGGAAGCAGAAGGGAACAAGAAAGAGAAGAAAAGAAAGAGAGAGATGATAGATGAGCGTTGGTTAGTCAGGAGGGAGAACACACAGAAAGAGAGACAGGTCCTGCCATGGATACGAAGGAAGAGCGATGTCTGCACGCACGCGCGCGCGCACGCACACACACACACACACACACACACACACACACACACACACACACACACACACACACACACACACACACACACACACACACACACACACACACACACACACACACACACACACACACACACACACACCTGTACATCATTAAACATATTAATACACACTGAAACATTAACATACATATATATATATATATATATATATATATATATAGACAGTCAGGCAGGCAGGAAGAGAGTTAGAACACACATCCCCCCCACCCACACAAACACACAGCCGTCACGGTTGTTGAGCAGAGGCAGCTCTAAGCAGTAGTTTCCCCCTCCTGCCACAAGTCTTACCCAGAGAAAAGGAAACCATAAATGGTCCAGCTGGGAGCTAGCGTTTGCGTTAGCATGAATGATTCACCTGGGAGCTAGCATTAGCGTTAGCGTTCCATGCTTGTGCTCCAGGTTAACAGGCTCATAATGGCCTATTGATTGTGTCCCAGAAAATGAAAAGGCAGAGCCTAAACAATACCGTTAGCACCCACGGCGACTAGCCAGAACGCTGGGATTACTGTATATGCCAATGTTGAGGAGTGACTTTTCATTTATAACACACACACACACACACACACTTTCTCTCTCTCTTTTTCTAATTAGTCAATTTTTAATTTACAGGACTGGGTCCACCAAGCCAATAATAAAATTGAGTTAAGACTGGGTGTATTACTGTGTGCTGGCCGGAGAGAGAGAGAGAGAGAGAGAGCGAGAGAGAGAGCGAGAGAGAGAGAGAGAGAGAGAGAGCGAGAGAGCGAGAGAGTGAGAGAGAGAGAGAGAGAGCGAGCGAGCGAGCGAGAGAGAGAGAAAGAAAGAAAGAAAGAAAGAGCAATAGTGTTGTACTTGTATACATGATTATATGTACTATTATTACTTTTATTGAAATGAACTTTATTTAATTATACTCATTGCATTGTACTGCTTTAGCAATATCTACAAATTGTATTTCATGCCAATAAAGCAATCTGAATTTGAATTTGAATTAGAGAGAGATTGAGAGAGAGACAGAGAGAGAGAGAGAGAGAGAGAGAGAGAGAGGGGGGGGGGGTGTGAAAGGGAGGGAGGATTTACATCCCTGTGTCTGGTCATATTTTCATGGAAGGGTGAGTTTATCAGTGGGGAAAGAGAGAAAGCAAGAGAAGCAGAAGCTGGAGAAGGAAAAGAGGAGAGAAAGACAGGGGATATATTTCATCAGGGGAAAATGTGAGAAGGTCATTTATGAGCAGTGAGTGTTCATAACAGTGCTAAAATGTCCTACAGACCAGGAGAGTGTGTGTGTGTGTGTGTGTGTGTGTGCATTCCATATCTCTGTATCTCATCATTGTAAATGACCAGATATGACTGACCACACTCCACATGTAGCGAGTGTGAAAAGGAATTTTTACTGAAACAGGTTAATGTTTGTGTATCAGGGGGTACCGCTTGTGTCATCCAGCCATCCATCACTGAATTCTCCTGTCCATCTTACTCCCTTCCCCACACCTGGCAACCTGAGCACCACCCCTTCAATCCATCCACCCATCCACCCAACGCCACCCACACAACCCCACCTCCCTCCCTCAATTTATCTATCCATCCATCCCTCTTTCTCTACATATGCATCTTAGTCATTCATCAGAAGTAGGTAAAACAACCACAGATCAAGAACATTACAAAAGTAAAACCATCTTCAAGAAATAGACCCAACATCGCTTTGATTCAGACTAAAACAAAAGGCAAGTACAACAAATAAGCTAGTTTTTCCCTTTCTCCATCCTTACCTGAGCTCCATAACACTGGTGACGTTCCCAGAGGGGAAGATGCGTCTGATGTAGTTGAAGTCCCCAACGAAGAGGCTCCCGTCGGAGCCACAGGCCAGCGCCACTGGGGCCAGCAGCTTGTTGCCCTCCGCCTGGCCGTTACAGCTGGGGCACGAGATGCTGCGGCGCCGGCCGTTACCCATGATGCTGCTGATCACTGGAGGCTGCTGGGAGATGAACACGTTCTCACCATTGCCCTTGTACAGGATGCCTGGATGGGGGGAGAGGGAGGGGAAGGAAGATTAGTCGCTGTGTCAAAGTGCCGATTGCCGAACAAGAAGTGAATTGTTCTTGTTGGATAAAGCTTATTTCCGTAGCTTTATGTACATTTGTGTAATTTCTGAACTTCCATGTTCGTCAAGGTGTTGGAACATTTCATACAGTCTTGTTATTAACTTTTTAGGTTGGCCAAAAATTACAAAAAACTTAGTTGGCGCATATTTAAACTGTAAAGTATTATCAAATAACAGCATATATGTAAAGGGAATATGATTCGGCTTGTTGCAAACGTGGTTGAGAGATCAATGTAACACTTAGATTGTCCAGTAGTTTCAACAGTTTAACTTGACCAGATGATCACCACAGGGAAATCAAATCAAAGCGTTACAAACTGCTCTCCTCACTCACTCTTTCATCAAATAAATTCAGGCCAATGCTGTTTTTCATTTTTAACTCAACACCACTTCCTGTTATTCCACGCCCCAAGGCTAGCCAGCAATGCAGCGAGGAAATAGACACTCACTGCTTTCAAATGAGACTAAAAAAATTATATCCCCGCTTCAGAAAATAATATTCACGCTTCTCGCAGAACTAAATCCGCACACACACACACACACACACACACACTATTTGAATTTCACCAAAAATGTGTAATTAATACCCATTTGAATATTTCATTTCTCAGATGATTTTCACCTCTGTGAGAATGTGATCTGAAGGAAACCTAGCGGGGTTTAAATGGGTTGACACCACAGCTGCTCCTGTTGTAATGATTAAGGGCTTTTGATCATTGGAATGTTCATTTACGTGGTGCTGGGACTGAGGGCAGGTTTTTATCTGGTAGTGGTGGTCGTTTGGAATCGATAAACGGTGTTAGCGCTGGTGTATGGAGCTGTGTTAGGACTGGGGTGATATGGGTGTGGGGCACCCTGGGTAGGTGTTGCCTGAGCTTGCACCTCTCTCTCTTTCCATTCAATTAAATTAAATTCAAAGGGCTTTATTGGCATGGGAAACATACAGTATGTTTACATTGCCAAAGCAAGTGAAATAGATATTCTCTCTCTCGTTCTCTCACGTTCTCTCAACAGGGTTTCATAGGCTCACACAGTGTGGGTGATGAAAAGATGCATGTGTGTGTGTGTGTGTGTGTGTGTGTGTGTGTGTGTGTGTGTGTGTACGAATGTGTGTGTGTGTCACCACACATTTAAGAAAATGAAGCCTCCCCAGCAGTAATACACAACTGGGTGCTGATTTGAAAAAACTGTTGAAAGACAAAGGAGTTAAATGGGATCAGCCGTAGGTGTAGTTTTCAAAGCAACAATATGTGTACTACTTCAAACCACTGCTATTCTGAAATAACCTCACTAACTACAACTATCTGTATATAAAAACTAAAAAGATACAAATACTTAATTTCTGGATTTTTTGTTTGTTTTGATAATCATTACTTTTGTAGCTAGCAATAAAAATTGCGGACAATTAAAATAATAATTACAGCTACTTGATTATCAGCATATTCATAGAGACATAACTTATATATGATAACGTAATAACACTCTTATAATGTGATAAAAACATAAAAAATTATAACATTAATATTGTTCTGATTAATAGCTATAATTATTGTAATAATTATGATAATACTAATTATTAAATAATATTGTATTTATTCAATACATATATATATATATTTTATGACATTAAATACTATTCAATCATACTATAATATTGTATATAATAATATTGTATATAATATATAATATTACATTATATTTATAACTTAAATAATATTATAATAATTACACTAATAAGTACAGTATCATTAGTGTTATCATCATCCATATCAATATCTTCCTCAACAATGTATTTATCTTTGCGAATACATAACTATTTAATTATTGCTCTCATTATCATTAATTATTTCCCTCCAAGAATGATTCCCTCTGGCAGTAAAGGAAATAGCTACCAAATCAATACAATTGCAGCCGGTTAATCAATCATTCTATTCTCTCAGGTCTGGTGCCTTGACATTGTCCCAGTCTCAGATTCCTTTCTGCTCCATATCCTTAGTGCATGAATTGGGCCAGTATTGTGCACCTCAAATTTCTTATTGAATATTCGCTCTAAAATATCAACCCTGGTATAGTAAAATTAAAATGAGTGATGGCGCCTAAAATGATTTTGGGCAGATTTTCCTTTCCACTAAAAGCACTGAATATACTAGAGAAATTAAACGAACACTATGGAAATATTTTGGGGAAATTGTGGGGATATATGGTGATGTTTTGGGAATATTGTGGGGATATATGGGAATGTTTTGGGAATATTGTGGGGATATATATGGGAATGTTTTGGGAATATTGTGGGGATATATGGGAATGTTTTGGGAATATTGTGGGGGATATATATGGGAATGTTTTGGGAATATTGTGGGGGATATATGGGAATGTTTTGGGAATATTGTGGGGATATATATGGGAATGTTTTGGGAAAATATTTGTGGGGGATTATGGGAATGTTTTGGGATATTGTGGGGATATATATGGCAATGTTTTGGGAATATTGTGGGGATATATATGGGAATGTTTTGGGAATATTGTGGGGATATATGGGAATATTGTGGGGATATATAGGAATGTTGTTATACTAAGCTCCCCCCAGGATGTACTGAGCTTCCCTCTGTGCTGTGCCATGCCCTGTCTCCTGAGGGCCATTGGAACAAACACACATCCTGTACCACTACCCACAGGCCCTGGCACACTCTGCCCACCCGTGCCCAGAGACTGGCACTGATTGGCTGGCGCATGACAGGAACAGTTTCTGATTGGCTGTGGGGGAATGACAGTTATTTATTTTTTTGTCATTTAGCAGACACTCTTATCCAGAGCGACTTACAGTTAGTGAGTGCATACATTTTCATACTGGCCCCCCGTGGGAATTGCCTATGATAGGCTGAATGAGAGATAGAGAGAAAGAGGAAGAGGAAGTGGCCGAAGGTGCTGCTGTGTGGATTTTGGGCTGTATGATGTAGCCAGTGGGGTTGTGTTTTCAGTTTGATCCAAAACGCTGGGGTTTAATATCAGGCCTGAGGATATGGTGATGGGGGGGAGAGGGGCTTGGGCGACACGCGTGGTGTTCTGGTAATCGCTTGGCTAATAACAACAGGAACTAATGCTAGAGGCAGTGTGTCAGTTCATTGGGTAGCCTACAGCCAGGGGGTAGTTTTAGGCTTTAGAAATACCAAAATATAAGCCTTGTGGTCTGCGTGATATTCAACAAATTACAATATGGTGTTTAAGTAAAAATGTAGTCTTGTTTTGACTTTGTTACTTCAACCAAGAGTTTCTTTCCTCTGTTTATTTTATGATCAGCACCCCTTCACCGTAACAGGGTGCTGCTGACGAGGCCTAACAGTATATCAAATAGACTGGACCTGTCCATCAACACAGGGGGTATTTTATCTGTGGTGGAGTGAGGTGTGGTGCGTGCATGCACGAGGCAACAAGGTGTGGAGTAGTGGGGGAGAGAGGGGGAGAGAGGGGGGAGAGGAGAAGGAGAGGAGAAGCATTTGATCTTTATTTCATGGCTCTGGTTGGATCAAGGACACCGGGAGAGAGACCAGGGTCGGAGGGAGTCACGGACGGCAAACGGACGCCGTTTAGAGATGGTAGCGCAGCCGTGTTGTGGCGTGGCCAAGCGATATGAAATAGAATAACGAATGTCTGACAGAGGGAAAACGTGAGTGTACATACACATCGATGCACAGACAACAAACAACATGAAAGTATATCAAGTACATGGGCACAGTGTACAATATACCAACATAATGTACACATTCAAACACCTACTTTAAGGTCATCAAGGTCACTTCACAGTCTCAGGATAGAATGGTTGGCTGGCAGTACAACATAGACGGCTATTGCTGGTATTGCCTTGATGCTTCCAAGTAGTATTGTATCGATTCTCAAGCATTTCATATTCATAACTGCAGCAAAGGTAGGTAAAGGACAAGTACGAATAAAAGCTAGGATACTGGATGGATGTGCTACAATTTAGAAAACGACTCAGGTATTGGTGCATATGGAAATGAATTCCTTATTTTATGTAGCAGTTGATATACAGTAAATATACAAAACATTAAGGACACCTGCTCTTTCCATGACATAGACTGACCAGGTGAATCCAGGTGAAAGCTATGATCCCTTATTGATGTCACTTGTTAAATCCACTTCAATCAGTGTAGATGAAGGGGAGGAGACAGGTTAAAGAAGGATTTTTAAACCTTGAGAAAATTGTGTATGTGTGCCATTCAGTGGGTGAATGGGCAAGACAAGATTTAAGTGACTTTGAATGGAGTATGGTAGTAGGTGCCAGGCGCACCAGTTTATGTCAAGAACTGCAACGCTGCTGGGTTTTTCATGCTCAACAGTTTCCCATGTTTTTCAAGAATGGTCCACCACCCAAAGGACATCTAGCCAACTTGGCACAACTTTGGGAAGCATTAGGGTCAACATGGGCCAGCATCTCTGTGGAACGTTTTCGACAACTTGTAGAGTCCATGCCCCGACGAATTGAGGCTGTTCTGAGGGCATAAGGGGGTGTAACTCAATATTAGGAAGGTGTTCCTAATGTTTTGTACACTCTGTATATTCTGTGGAAAAGGCATGTGTGATATCTTATTCGGAAATGTGTCACTAAAAGCTTTCCATGTTTGTATTACTCTACACTAAATATGCAAGGACTTTTTCTCTGTAATTTACACTGAACAAAAATATAAACGAAACATGTAAAGTGTTGGTCATGAGGTGAAATAA